CGAGCCAGCGGAGTGGAGCAGTGGTGGCAGGGCCAGGCTATATGGGTTTCAGGTTTTCACCGGCCGATGAGGAGGAAGCTCCGCTGAGGAATTTGCATATGGAAATGATGGTGTGGGGCTTTACTTGGGAAACGATAAGAGTTGGTTTGCCTGTTTGTCCCCTGGTCTTCCTCCAGTACCCCCGCTAGTCCACCACCTTATTTCTGTAGAGCTTTTTCTTTTTCTGATTCACCTCTATTTCCCATCACATATGAAAGGCTGTGGTCTCCTGGATCTAAGTCCTAGAGATGGGGCACATGCCCTACCATGTGGTGGCATTTCAGAACAGGAGATCAGTTTTCTGTCGAACTTCATCACTACCCCTTCCAAACAAACATAGGAAAGTATTTTTAAATCATTCATCTAGAACCTGTCACATTTGTGAGACAATCACACCTCCTCATCTTTCCCACCCAGACCACCTTCTCTTTCTCAGGGGCTACGTTAAGGTTACTTACTTTCTTATGTCCATATAAACATATCTGGTCTGGTGGTACCAGGCGTGGACTTACTTGCCCCACACTAGCTTTTATTCTGCTGTGCCTCTGTGCCTCCTCCTTCTGTCCTCGCATTTTTCTGTACATCCTGTGTGGCATCGTTTCTCATCTCCTTCCTTCCTTTTTTTTTTTTTTAATGTTTATTTATTTTTGAAGGAGAAGAGACAGAGCATGAGCAGAGGAAGGGCAGAGAGAGAGAGGGAGACACACAGTCCGAAGGGGCTCCAGGCTCTGAGCTGTCAGCACAGAGCTCCTGGCAGGGCTCGAACCCACGAGCCAGGAGATCATGACCTGAGCCGAAGTCAGACGCTCAACCCACTGAGCCACCCAGACGCCCCTCTCCTTCCTTCTATGTATTGTACACACTAACATACTTATAGGTGGATGCAAGCATTGTGCCTCCAGGACGGTCACACCCAAACATCTACAGATCAAAATATGTATTATTTCATTATAAATTTCTTTCCTTTGTTTCTTTATATCAACATGAGGATATTATATTGATTATTAAAACTATGTGTAATATATTTTCCTTGAGTTTCATTAAGGATACTAAAGGCAGAATCGCAGAATATTTGTTATAAAAGTGAGAGTTGGGTCACTTAGGATTGAGAGCATGATGCTAGATGCCATTTATGCCATGCATACATCTGACAAAATGTAATTAGGTTTTGAATAGTCTAATGTGAATAATGCAGTCTTAGGTAATCTTCAAAATTATACGTCAGATTACACTACACATAAGACCTTTTTTTGAAAAATATTTATTTTTGAGAGAGAGAGAGAGAGAAAGTGCAAGCTGGGGAGAGGAAGAGAGAGAGGGAGACACAGAATCCAAAGCAGGTTCCAGGCTCCGAGCCATCAGCACAGAGCCTGACGCGGGGCTCGAACTCATGAAATGAGAGACCATGACCTGAGCCAAAGTCAGATGCTTAACTGATTGAGTCACCCAGGTGCCCCAAGATCTTTTCTTATACCTTGTTTTTAGGTATATTATTACATAAACAGGAAACATAGAGGCTTTTAATTATCTCAATATGGCCATCGATATTCCATAACTCTAACCATGGATTAGAATATTTATAATTGTACACGCAGAGGATTATTCTGTTCCTTATCCACTTTTCTTTCCCGAGAGTGGTTTTGATCAAGTGGACAGGATCTTGCTGACTGTCATACTGCAGTGATGAAACAGAATGCATTCCTAGGCTTCCACTGCTGTGCTGTCAACACCACACCCAATATATATGTATATATACATATGGTGTTAAACAGAATATATATATTTTTTAAACAAGGAAAGGTGATAGAGGACAGGATGACTCTGGTTTTTATTAATGTTTATTTTATTTTTGAGAAAGAGAGCATGAGCCAGGGAGGGGCAGAGAGAGGGGGAAAGAGGATTTAGAGCAGACTCTGTGCTGACAGCAGAAAGCCCGATGCGGGACTCAAACTCACGAACTGTGAGATCATGACCCAGGCTGAAGTTAGACGCTTAACCGACTGAGCCCCCCAGGTACCCCCAGCACATCTATGTTGTTTAAACAAGTTGAATATTCCCCATGAAAGGGAATATTGGATATAATGCTATTAGCTTCTGTTCCCCCAGAAGCCAACTTGAGACAAGGATTTAGATGCAAATCCCACCTCTGTATTGGGGAGAGGTGGGGAGGCAATCCCAGGAAGCATGGGAGGAGCTAGGGAAGAGGGCAGTCAATAATTAGCTAGTTACGGGGGCACCTGCGTGGCTCAGTTGGTTACGCGTCTGACTCTTGATTTCGGCTCAGGTCATGATCTCATGGTTCATGAGATCGAGCCCTGCAGTGGGCTCTGCACTGTCTACTTGGGTTTCTTTCTCTCCCCTTCCCCCATGAGTGCTGAGTGCTCTTTCTCTCTCTCAAAATAAATGAATATTTAAAATAATAATGAGCAGGTTGTACAGCTCTAGGTGTCAGGAATTAAATCCTACTAAATACCCTCTAAGAGACTCAGCAGAACCACACCTTAACAATGTCTCACCAACAGGCAAGAAAGCTGGGCTGTTTGCCCACCAGCCCTCCCTCATGAGGAGTGTTGCTCCTGGGGTTATAAGCCACCTGCACTTTCAGCCTGCTTCATTTACTCCTGCATCCAGGGAAAGCCCTTAGGCAGAGAGACACAGGTGCTTGTATGACAGTCATCCACTGAAGCCCTAGTGACCTCCAGGATGGACAGGAAGGATATGGTTGGGATGCTGGCTGCAGCTAGTAAAAGTGGGAAGAAAGACATGAGACCAAATTGCTAATTCCCTTTACCCTATTACCTCTGGTCCCAGGACAGGACATTTTAGTAGGGCCAGCATTTTCTTCCTCTTAATGGATATGGCTACCGATTGATACTTCATAAGGGACTCTGCTTGATGTCGCTGCCCTAGATGCTTGCCAACGTGCAAGCAGGATCTCAGGGCATCATCAAAACAGGAAAGATATGCCAAACATCGGAATCTCATCTCCTGACCAGGATATGTCTTCTTCCCAAACTGGTCAGGAGCCTCCCGTCCATCAGAGCAAGGCCAACACCCACCTCCCTCAAGGCTGTTTCAACATAAGTGGGAGCCTATCTCTCACTTGCTCACTTTTTTTTTTTTCGAATTTAAGTCCAAATTAGTTAACATATAGCGTAATAATGATTTCAGACATAAAATTTAGTGATCTATCACTTACGTACAACACCCAGTGCTCATCCCACCAAGTGTCCTCCTGAATGCCCCTCACCCGTTTAGCCCATCCCCCACCCACAACCCTCCAGCAACCCTCAGTTTGTTCTATGTATTTAAGAGTTTCTTATGGTTTGTCTCCTCACTTACTCAGTTTTTAAAACATGTTTATTTATTTATTTTGAGAGAGAGAGCACATGCATGAGAGAGGAAGAGAGAGAGAGAGAGAGAGAGAGAGAGAGAGAATCCCAAGAAGGCTCCATGTTGTAGAACGTGGTGCTCAATTCCACGAACTGTGACACCATGACCTGAGCTGAAATCAAAGAGTTGGATGCTCAACTGACTGAGCCTCCCAGTCGCCCCTGTTACTTTCTCACTTTTAAGACCTACTCAGGCATGTGATGGTCACTGTTGGGTTAAACACTTAAGTTGTGCTTGCTTGTGTGTCTTTATGGACCATTCATGCTGACCAGTAGTAGCACATTGATTCAAATTGATTCATGTTCATGTTTTCAACATAATGCCCTAAAACAAAATGCATCCACATGATCTTTTAATTCTCCTTTTTCCAAGGCAAGATCATCATAAAAATAAGTGTAGGAAATTTTTTATCATTCTTATTTCTATTATTGGCAATATTATTGCAAATCTGTGGAAAGACAATCGAAATGTGCATACACAGGAAGTGTCACCACCACAGCAGCCAATGAAAGAAGAACACGTGAAAATATTTCCTAAATTTCAGAAAATAAGCCGGCAATATGAAGCAAAGTACTCAAAACAAATTGGCTATCAGATATCAGATGCCACTTTTTAATTTTGCTTGTTGACCTTAGCCCTTCTAGTTTTCATGGAAAACTTAAAGTCTGGGGCTCTGGACTAGTTGGATTAGTTGTAGTTATCTACATCTTCAGCTCCCTCAGTGTTGTTAGTTGAATTGTGTAACCAAAAGAAGCGTATCGAATTCCTACCCCTAGTACCTCAGAATGTGACCTTATTTGCAAATAGGGTCATTCAGGTGTAATCCGTTATGAGGAAGTCATTATGGAGCAGGGTAGGACCCGATCCAGTATGACTGCTCTCCTTATAGGAAGGCACTCATACAGACCCACGGACAACACCATGTGATAATGGAAGCAGAAGTTGAGAAGCTGGGTCTGCAAGCCAGGGAACACCCAGGATGGCCAGCAAAACCTCAGAAGCTGGAAAAGGCAAGGAAGGGTCTTGCCCTGCAGATTTCAGCGGGAGCACAGCCCTGCTGACTCCTGGATTTGGGACTGATAGCCTCTAGGATTGCGAGGCACTGAAGTTCTGTTGTTTGAAGCCACCCAGTTTGTGTGCTTTGTATGGCAGCCCTAGGCAACACTCAGCTTTTCTCTTTAATTCACATTTCAAATTTCTTCTTTCATCTGCAATTCACCTGTTTTCCTTTGCACTTTCTTAATTTCTACCTAGGGAAAAGCTATGCTGAGATTTTACATCTGCCTGGCAACCATAGGGACTCAGTTTGTCATGCTCTTTATAGCAACACCATTGTCTGAAGGTGACAATTTCTCTGATCTCCTACGCCATGTATATGGTGATAAGATCAGGAGCCAAAAGCTGCACTGTTACAGTCTTTCCGCCCATGACACCCACCAAATCTAAGATTGCTTCAAGTTAAGGCTATGGAGCATCTCCATCCAGGATCAAGGAGAAACTGTCAGTCACCCGGCTCCAACCTCTCCCCTTCCCCGCCGGTACCAATCTCTTTCATAGTCACAGCTCACCTTGAACTCTGTGCAGATGCATCTGTGGTCCAGTCACTAGGACCAATTCTGATGTTAGGTAAGAGGAATTTGAGAGGTTCCAGTCCACTGCTCCGCGACGGGGGCTGAATTCCATGCATTTGGGTTCCTGTCGCACCTTGGGCCTTATATTCCTTTATCAAAGCAGGGACACACTACTTTGTGGTCATTGTGTAACTGCCTGTCCTTTTCACACAACGCAAGCAGGGCCCGTTTCTCTGCTTTGTTTCCCCAAGGCTTGGCACAGCGATTGGCGCACAGCAGGGCTTCAATATGTATTCAATTGAATGCGATGAATGAGGGGAAGAAAGCATCAAGCTGCACTTGCTCCTTACTTACTTCTGACGAGGGGATGGGCTTCGCATTGTCCATATCCAGCATCTACCTCGTGCCCCAATGAATGAGTAGTGTCACACAAGTGTGAATAAAGGATTTCCAAAACCATTGCGAGACGAATTATGTTCCTGGGTGCCTGGCCGGCTCAGTCGGTAGAGCATGTGACTCTTGATCTTGGGGTCGTGAGTCCAAGCCCCATGTTGGGTGTAGAGATGACTAAAAATAAATAAAATGAATAAACTTTTTAAAAAAAAATTTTTTTTTTCAACGTTTTTTATTTTATTTTTGGGACAGAGAGAGACAGAGCATGAACGGGGGAGGGGCAGAGAGAGAGGGAGACACAGAATCAGAAACAGGCTCCAGGCTCCGAGCCATCAGCCCAGAGCCTGACGTGGGGCTCGAACCCACGGACCGTGAGATCGTGACCTGGCTGAAGTCGGACGCCCAACCGACTGCGCCACCCAGGCGCCCCTGAATAAACTTTTTAAAAAAAGATAAATTATGTTCTAGGAAAATCTCAGAACCTCTACTGGTAGAACCACATAAATAAGGGGCTTTAACATTCCCCTTTATGTTGGTTCAGAGATATTACGTATGATAGAAACTGAGGTTGGTAACAAGGTTAAAGTGAGGTGATTGTCCCGATTTGGCAATTGTTTATGTCCTTATGGATATAAACATGGGATTGGAATACTTATTTATAAGGGATTATTCAGCAACGAGCGACCCACCAATGGCCAAAAAGACACAAAAGAATAGCAACCTGAGTTTTCTGAACCAGCAGATAGTAGTGTGTCCTCATGTGCAGGCCAGGAAGGTTCTACCCTGTGCCAACATGCCAGGCCAACTGGGACTCAGATGGACCCTGCATGAGCTAGCCTGACTCTGAGGAGGAAGGAATGCTCACCGAAGTGGGGACATCCTGACACCAAGCTTGGAAAATCCCTACGACCCTATGTCCCTCTGGGCTGAGTGTCCTTTAATATACCCTGCCTTTGTGCTCCTACATTCTCCCAATGAAAACATGCCCCAGTGTTCATTATAACACTGCTCTCTGGTGCTGGTACCTCTGTTTTATTCCCCTACAGTTGCTCTGTGTAGTATCCTTAACCAGACCTGCTCCACCAGCCACCAAATGCTAGAACATCTGTTCACTATCCTCCTGATTTGTTATTCATCTCAGAAGTGAGTTTTTCAAACACCTTTAGCCTTCTTTTCTCCAGACTAAATATTTCTGTAGTTTTTCAACCCTTTGATTATTTTTGTTCTTTTTTTTTTGAATTCTCGCCAATTTTCCATATATTCTTACACCATAGGGTTTAAAAGGTGTATGTGACTCTATGTATAAAGCAGAGGCATAAAATATCAATGGTCATGACATATTTGTGATGAAAACAGACAAGGTCTAATCTCTTATTCCAGACTTCCTAAAGGAAAAGAAAAGAGATTCTAACACAATCTGCTAATAAACCACAGAGTTAGATCAATAAGGAAAACAATCCACATGAGTCCTTAAGATAAAAGATATCATTAAAATTTTTTTTAACATTTATTTATTATTGAGAGATAGAGACAGACCATGATCATGAGAGGGGCAGACACAGAATCTGAAGCAGGCTCTAGGGTCTGAGCTGTCAGCACAGAGCCCGACGAGGGGCTCGAACCCACCAACCGTGAGATCATGACCTGAGCCGAAGTTGGACGCCCAACCGACTGAGCCACCCAGGCGCCCCTAAAAGGTATCATTTTAAAAATTATTTCATACTATCACTCAGCCATCAAAAAAGAATTAAATTTTGCCATTTGCAATGATGTGGGTGGAACTAGAGGGTATTATGCTAAGCGAAATAAGTCAGTTAGAGAAAGACAAATATCATATGATTTCACTGATATGTGGAATTTAAGGAGCAAAACCATGAACAGAGGGGAAGGGAAGGAAAAATAAAATCAGACGAAAACAGTGAGGGAGGCAAACCATGAGAGAGACTCTTAACTCTGGAGAACAAACTGAGGGTTGCTGGAGGGGAGGTGGGGGGATGGGCTACATGGGTGATGGGCATGAAGGAGGGCACTTGTGATGAACACTGGGTGTTTAGTCATGAATCACTAAGTTCTACCCTGAAACAAATACTACACTATATGTTAACTAACTTGAACTTAGATAAAATCTTGAAAGGAAAAAAAAATAACAATAAATAAAAACAAAAAAAATTCCAAGCTAATTAATAGAACAACTTTTTATTCCTGGTAGTTTATATAAATTCCAGCTAATGGTCCATCATGCCAAATATGAAAAGATCAGGGCCTTTTATCAACAATTCTATTTTAATTTTTTTTAACGTTTATTTTTGAGACAGAGAGAGACAGAGCATGAACGGGGGAGGGTCAGAGAGAGAGGGAGACACAGGATCTGAAACAGGCTCCAGGCTCTGAGCCGTCAGCACAGAGCCCGACGCGGGGCCCGAACTCACGGACCGCGAGATCATGACCTGAGCCAAAGTCGGACGCTTAACCGACTGAGCCACCCAGGCACCCCAATAATTCTATTTAAGAAAAATGATTTGGGGATGCCTGGGTGGCCCAGTTAAGCATCCGACTTCGGCTCAGGTCATGATCTCACGGTTCATGAGTTCCAGCCCCGCATTCGGTTCTGTGCAGCCTGCTTCGGAGTCTGCCTCTTTCTCTGCTCTTCTCCCGCTCACGTTCTCTCTCTCTCTCTCTCAAAAATAAATAAACAGGGGCACCTGGGTGGCTCAGTCAGTTAGGCATCTGACTTCGACTCAGGTCATCGACCTCATAGTCCATGAGTTTGAGCCCCATGTCAGGCTCTATGCTGACAGCTCGGAGCCTGGAGCCTGCTGTGGATTCTGTGTCTCCCTCTCTCTCTGTCCCTCCCCCACTCATACTCTGTCTTTCAAAAATGAATAAATGTTAAAAAATAAAAATAAAAAAATAAACATTAAAAAGAAAAAGAAATGATTTGTAAACTGTTACCATATGTTATACATTATCATCTTAAAATGTGAACACGAAAATGTTATGTACATAAAATCGAAATAGGTAATTGTGTCTTCTATGTTTTTTATGGCACGTTGATAACACTGGAGTTGCTGAATCACTCTAGGTATTTGCTCAAGTTCTCAAGAGAGCTGGGTGGTGTGTGCAGCTGGGAAGCGCCCAGAGCCTGGGGCCTGGCTTCAAATCCCAGCTCTGTTCTCGACTAAGTGTACACCCCCAGACCCTTAACTCCCTTCCTTTCCTCATGTGTGAACAGGGAGTGATGGTAGTAATAATACCTGCCTTTAAGGGTCTTCTGAGCAGTAAATAACTTAATACATTAAAAACAACAAGTGTCCAACTTTGGCTTGGGTCATGATGTCAATGTTCACGAATTCGAGCCCCCGTGTCGGGCTCTGTGCTGACAGCTCAGAGCCTGGAGCCTGCTTCGGATTCTGTGTCTCCCTTTCTCTCTGTCCCTTCCCCATTCACGCTTTGTCTCTCTTTCTCTCTCAAAAACAAATAAACATTAAAAACAATTAAAAACAACAACAACGCCACTTAGGACAGGCCCTGCCCATAGTAAGTTCTTGCAATTATTGTCATGATCATTTCCGTAATTATACTCTGAACGTTAGCAAGGAGGCTAAAAAAGTTCTCAACATTGAGCCTGTCTATTTGTGCCAGAACTCTCATGAGACAGTTGGTTCCTAAAGCAGCAATTAGAAATGAAGAATCAGAACAGTGTGATCATGCCGTTTGACGAAGGTCCCAGGGATGCAGGTTGCGGCTTAGCTCAGCTGCTCTCTCTGTTCCCGGGGTGTGCTAACAGCAAACAGAGGGAGAGGAGAGTTCTCTTGCTCCTCCTCATTCCTCCAGGCCCCACCTCTGGTCTGCTCATCTCTGCAGCATCTCTCACTGGCCTGAGATCCAAATGATGCCTCAAGTGTCCACAGGAGCCTCATGTAGAGAAGCAGCTGGGCATAAACCGTCAACGGACACACCTAGCTTGCACACTAATCACACAACAATATTCTCCCATGGACACAAACGAAAGTACTTTTTCCCTGTGTTTAAAAACACAGGCTCAGTCGGTTAAGCATCTGACTTCAGCTCAGGTCATGACCTCACCATTCATGAGTCTGAGTCCTGCATCGGGTGAGTTCATCCTCCGCTTCAGGCAAGCCCCCGCTTCTCTCTCTCTCTCTCTCTCTTTCTCTCCCTCTCTCTCTGCCCTTTGCTCACTTGCACCCCACTCCTCTCAAAAAGTGAAACAAAAATTTAAAAAAATGAAAACACAGACTTACTGGATTTGTCTTTCCTCTTCACTCTTTTGGTAGTGACCCAGATACAGAGAACTGTTTTTGGTTGGTTGTTTTCATAAAAAAAAAAGTCAACAATACAGGCATCTAATAACAGTCTCTGAAGAGTTAGGAACAAGAGGGATTGGTAGAGATCAGTTGAACTGACTAGCACGTGTCCCATCTAAAGGGTTGAGTATTCCTAAGCTCTGCTCAGGATGCCATGAGGAAATGGAGAAAAAGGAAGTGCAGCCCAGACTTTTGGACTTTAGTAAGGAATTTCCCAATTGTTTAATGTTGGCTCCCATTAATGTATGTAGACTGATCAAAATCATGCTGCAGAAAGGCCACAGGTGCAGGATGTCGACTCCACAGTGCCATGGGGGTGCCATTACCATTGTAACGTGGACATGATATCAATGGTGACCCTGGAGTTGTGCAACACGGTGGCATGGGTCCAAACCACAGTAAGCAAGGGCTCTCTATATCTCTGAGCAGAGAGTCTCTAAGACACTTTTTCAGACATTAGTGTGCACGAAACCAGTGAGATGCCTGTTTACAATCAGAGTCCTGAGGCTCGTTACCTGAGATTCTGAGGGGAGGCCCAGGAATTTGCATTTAAAAAAAACAAACATTTTTAGGGGCGCCTGGGTGGCGCAGTCGGTTAAGCGTCCGACTTCAGCCAGGTCACGATCTCGCGGTCCGTGAGTTCGAGCCCCGCGTCAGGCTCTGGGCTGATGGCTCAGAGCCTGGAGCCTGTTTCCGATTCTGTGTCTCCCTCTCTCTCTCTGCCCCTCCCCCGTTCATGCTCTGTCTCTCTCTGTCCCAAAAATAAAAATAAAAACGTTGAAAAAAAAAATAAATAAAAAATAAA